AGCTATTTACAGAGAATGGTGACTGCCCACCTCACTGTTGAGTTAGACTTACTCTGGTGAAGCAGAAAAGTCATGACATAATTGTAGACATCATGGAGAGACAAGGCAAGACTTTAACCTTACACCTACAGGTAAAGGACGGTCACTGAGGGTTGTTAACAAGGGGATCAATATGATCAATGCTGCATTTTAAAAGGGTAACTCATTAATGGGATGTGAGGTAGATTATGGGGAGGAGATTCTGGAGGGAGGAAGGTTATTTAAAAGGCAGCTACAGAAAAACAGGTGTGAGATGCTGAGAACCTGAATTTGGGGTAGTAATTAGCAAGTTAAAGGGGAAGTTCAAGTCCAGCTAGTAAGCTATTGGGTTCTTGGTATTGGTAGCAGAGCATCTTTGCAAATATATATTAAAAAGACCCAAGTGTTTGATTGAGCAAACATTTATTGAGCATGTGTTAAATGAGGACTAGTATGAACATCAGAGGGCTATGAATATGGATTGAAAAGAAATTATATTCTCAGAATTTAGTCAATGAGATAATGTATAACTTTTAAAACTTTATTAAATATAATATACATTCAGAAAAGTGCACAAAACGTAGGTGTAGAGCTTCATAAATTTTCACGAAGTGAACTTACCTATGTAACTAGCACTCTGTTTCTGAGAAACAGATGATTACCAACATCCCAGAAGCCTCCATTGTACTTTTTCCCAGTCGCTGTCTCCCAATAAACATTAGCAGTACACTGACTCCTTTTACATATAATTTCATAGGCTAGTTTTATCTGGTTTTGAATTTCTTTTGTTCCTGAAATCTTTCACTCATTAAGATTTGTGGGACTTGTTCTACATTGAGCACATGGCAAGTTTGTTCATTCTCATTGTTCTGTAGTGTTTCAGTATCATAATGTAATTATTCTTGAAACTGTTGACGGACATTTGTGTTTTTTTTTCAGCTTCAGGTGTTACAATTACCAATATTTTTAAATTTCCAAACTTAACTCCATGAGGTAGGGTCTATTGTCACCATTTTACAGATGAAGAAACTGGCAGGTTAAAGAATATGTCACAAGTCATGCTTCAATGGAGACGACACAATTTGAACCTAGGCAATTTCTTTTACTTGTTTATTTTCGTTTTTGAAATTTATTTTGTACATTCAATCACTGTACATCACCACAGCTTGCAAAATGAATTTACCCAACATGAATACTCCCCTCAACAGTTCGGTCAAAGATATCATACACATTATCAAAGGAAGACAATCGTTCATTTGTGTGTCCCTCAAGTGACATGTATCTCTGTTTTTCTCGATTCCCATCCTCTCACTCTCCCCCATCTTCCACCTTCTTCCCACACTGTCTCCAGGGTCCGTAACCACTTTCCATGCTTCTATATCCTCTCATCTTTAAGTTTCCTCCACAGAGTGCAGACAGTGGTATATATTAAGCGGAGTCATGCAATGCCTCTCCTTCTTAGCCTGGCTGGCTTCACTCAGTTGTAAATCTTTCATGTTCATCCATTTTCTATCTAATGCTAGGATCTTATATTTTTGGCTGAGTAGTAGCCAGTTTCTATTTTTACTTTCATTATGGATAATTTCAAATGTGTACAAAATTATATATTGTAGTATGGAATAATGAAGCTCTATGTTCCCATCACCTAGTTCATTAATTATCAATTCATGGCCAATCTTGTTTCATTTATACCCCCAACTAATTTCCCTCCCCTATTATTTTTAATCTCAGATATTACATTATTTTGTCTTTGATTATTTTAATACCTATCTGTAAACTTTTACTTTTTAAACTACAATGACAATGTCATTATTACACCTAAAAATCAATGATATTTATTTAATACAACTGGGAATTTGATATGTGTTCAAATTTTCTGACTATTTTATAGTTTGCTTGACTCAGGATCTACAAAGGACCAACCAACTATTGTCACTGGTTGGTATGTTTTTTTAAGCCAGTTTTAACCTCTATGTTCCATCACTCTACTTCATTCCTTGTACTTTGTAATTGAAAAATTAGATTGTGTGTCCTAAAGAGTTTTCTGTACTGTGGATTTTCTTTATTGTATACCTGTGATAGGTTTAGTATGTTCCTCTAACTTTTGTATTTACTGTAAGTTGATGGTTGTATCTAGAAAGCATTATCTTTTTAAAATCAAGTTAACGAGAAACAAAGATGTATTTTACTTATTTTAAAAGATCATTGAATTGAGCTACTATTTCAGACTTGGAAATCTTTATGTCTCTCTTTCAGAGAATCTGACGGAAACTGAAGATTATAGAATAGTGATGATGCAAGCCAGTAAGTATAACTTCAGGGGAGTTGGCATTGTTCTGTTTACACTTTAAGACATTTGACTGTGATGGGCAATTGTGCTCTTTTTCAAGGAAAAGTATACACTAGTCATGAAACCAGGAAGGAGAGTTTTTACAGGTATCATTTGAAGTGATAAAGAATCCCAAGAACCTGTATGGCACTATCTAGAGATGGGAATGAGGGCAAACACAGTAAATTATGTATGTGATTGATAGTTTACATGAGAGACCAGGGAAAAAGCTATTGATGGATTTAGTAAAGCAGAGGAGGTTAAGGGATAAAGTTTATATCTTCATCGTATGCACTTAATTTGTACCTGATAACTACTTTCATTCTTAATGGTGGATGGGGAGCAAAGTATTATAGAAGCCCAGTAAGAGAATGATTCAGAACCCTGGACAGCTCATTGAGGGCACAGTAGCTAGGTCAGCCATTGTTAATCTGTCTTATTTGAAAACTTTAAAAATAAGTTTTATATTTAAGGTACAAAACATGATATCATGGGATATATAGATACACACACATATATATATGTATATTATTATATACATACAATATATAACTACATATATAAATAACTAAATATATATGATTATATATAAATAGTAACAATACTGAATCAAATTGACATACCCATCATCTCATATAGTTATCTTTTTGTTTGCTTTTATGGCAAGAGCAAATAGAATCTACTCATTTAGAAGAAATCCCAAATACATTGTAATTTTATTAGCTATAGACTTAGCTCTGTATAGTTTATATTTAGATTTAAAAGCTACATACCTGCTACATTGTAACCTCTACTTTACCTCTTCCCATTTCTCCATCCCAACCCCTGTCCATAATAACCTCCATAATAACCACTGGCTTGTTCTTTATCTCTGTAGATTTGACCCTTTTATTAAAAAAGATGTTATACATAAGTAAAAGAACTCTATATTTTTCTTTATTTATCTAGTTTATTTCCTTTGCATAAAGTCCTCTAAGTTCATATGTAGAAAGATTTCCTTTTTAAAGATCAAATACTATTGTGCGTGTATTACAAACTTTTTTATTCCACTCCATTTTTGACAGACACTGAGGCTGTTTTCATATTTTGGTTATTGTGAAAAATGCTGCAATGGCAATGATAGCGCAGATATCTTTAAGAGGTACTGACTTAATTTCATTTGGGCATATGCCAAAAGAAGGATTACACAGTCACGTGGTAGTTCCATCTTTTATTTATTTAGGAATCACCTCCTTTTTTTTTTTTTTCTATAATGACTGTAACATTCTATAATCCCAGCAAGGAAAGAAGAATTCTCCTTTCTCTATGGCCTCACCAACTTGTTAACTCCTGACTTCTTAATGATAGTAATCTTAACAGATATATGGTAATATCTCATAGTGATTTTGATTTACATTTTTCTAATGCTTAACGATATCAAGTACTTTGTTGTATACCTGTTGGTTATATGTATGCCTTCTTTGGCAAAATATCTATACAGGTCCTTTGTCCATTTTTAAATTGAAGTTTTTTTCTACTACTGAGTTGTATTAATTCTTTATAAATGTTAAGTATTAACTGTTTTGCCATATATGTGGCTTGCAGGTATTTCCTAGTACATGTACTGCTGCTTCATTTTAATGCTTGTTTCCTTTGCTGTGCAGATGCTTTTTAGTATGAAGTAATCCCATGTTTGTTTTTGCTTTTGCAGTCTGAGCTTTTGATGTGATTTCTAGAAAATCATTGCCAAAGTGAATGTGAAGGAGCTGTTCCCCATGTGCTCATTTAGGAGTTCTAGAATTTAACTCTTAAATTCAGGTCCTTTATTTCTTTTGAGCTGATTTTTGTGCATAGTTTAAGATAAGGATCCAGTCTCACTCTTTGGCATGTGGGCATTCGATTTTCTCAGCACCGTTTATTATCTCACCCACTGTGTCCTCTTCATGCCGTTGATGAAAACTAGTTGATGATTGTGTTTAGGTTGATTTCTGGGCTCTCTATTCCATTCCATCAGTCTACGTGTCTTTTCTATGCCAGTATAATACTGTAATGATTACTATAATTTACAATGTAATTTTAAGAGGTTTTTGCTATAGGGCACATGCACTCACCAGAGAGAGAGGCAGAGATAGAAATGGCAAGGGGGAAGGTGAGAAATCACCCCTCAAGGGAGATGGTCACTCCACAATTCCTTCTCCTCCATCCCTCTCCTGGCATCTTGGGTACGCACACACAAACTCCCAGCGTGATTCTCAAGATACCAGATCTGGGACTCAAACCATGAACAGGTATGTGAGAATTCAATGATGTAACCTCTACGTCATCTCCTGGCCCTTAATATTTTAAATCAGATATTGTTTGGGACAAGTTTCTGCCTTAAACATCACCCTTTATAGGCAAACTCTAAATGAGGGCCACATGTTTACATATATATTTTTTTAAAAATCATAATTATTCCAGAAAAAGAGAAGAATCATAGAGCAATAATTTGAAAAGCATTACAAATATAATCCAGAGTATAAGAGGGTGTTAGTATGATTATGAGGAGAATCTTAATTCATTATACTTCATTTAGTAATGATATTATTTGTCAGAAAAAAATCAATGAAAGTCATTTTATTATAAGTAAATTAAATAATTTAATATAATAATAAGTTTATAAATTTATGAATAATTCTGGAAATTTGCTATCTCATCAGTGGAATTATTTATTTGATCTAAACATAATCAGGTAAATTTCCCATTTGAGATTAATGTTTTTTTTCTGTTGCACTTTTATGTAAGACCGAGATGAGATAATTTTGTGTGATAACCCAGTAATCGAGGAGTGTGATTGCTGGGCAGTCACACAAGATTATTTAATTTGTGTCTCACACAAGATTAGTAGATTTTTTGTTGTTGCAATTTCTGTTTTACATTCTTATATCTGATCTAAAACATGTGCTAAGTATTCTATCTCATTCTAATCTAAGGAAGAGAAGCACGCATATGCATCCAATAAAAAATAAATCTAGACACCTATATGAATTGAGCTGCAGTTCCCTGTCCAACCCCCACCTGTGCTGACACAGCCCTGCTGCTTCCTGTCTGTGAGGGAGCCCCTCCCCTAGGGGCACTGTCACCCATTGAGGTTTTTGTTGGGTTCCTGCAGGTACCCACATCTCTGTGTTCTCTCAGAGCACAGAAATACACTGTGGAGTCAGTGAGCTGTGAGGTCATGATGGTGAGGCTGATAGAACGGGCTGATTTATGGAAGTTCAGAAAATACCGACCCTCTGATGTATTCTTCTCATTATAAGAGTCCTGACGAATAAGAGCAATCATTTCCCTAGTTGGTGGCTGTTTGTACCAGAATAAATAGTAAGTAGGATCACTGGTTTCATATCCACAGCCCAAGGTCACACTTCCCTTCTCCATCACTGAAGTTGCAGTCTGGGCTTGAGTTACCGTCTGGGCCATGCTGGAGCCTGCAGGAAAGAGAAAACAAATAGTCATCCCCACCTCCAGCTAAGGGGACATAAGGGATGATGTGGCTTAGACTCAGCCACCTGCTTTCATTGCCCAGGAGGCCTCCCCACCAGGACCTCTTAGACTACAGTGATCTCCTCTCTGACAACTCTCAGAGCTGCTGGAGCCTGAGTCCTGTGTTTGTGGTCGTCCTTACCGAGACAGATGGAGGCCATGACTGTCCTCAGCAGGCTGGAGGTCAGCACGCTGGTAGCTCTTCCCCCGAGTGCCATGTCCTGTGTTCTAGCACAAATCCAGATCATAATTCTGCACCCTGTCTTCCAGAGCTCTGCACAGTTGCTGGGCGTTGTGATGCTTCTGCCTCACACAGGAAGCACAGTGTGCAGATGCAGGACAGGGGTGCCTGTGTCATGTCACATGCTTCCTGTGTAACTGGAAAATATGATGCTGCCCTGAACACCTATTTTGTCTCTTTATAACTTACTGGACTGGAAACAAACAGTAATAAACCTAAATCATTTGTTTAATTCTTTTTGATGGAGAATGTGGGACTTAAATAGAATGCAATCATTTTGAAACTATAGGGAATCCATGGGATAACATAGACATGCACCTTTTGATCTTACATACACATCATTTTTTTTCCCAACAGAGTCAAGGTGAAAAGGAATCACAGAGTTTTGACCATGTAAGCAGGAAGGCAAAACTTTTAGTCTCAGTTTTTGTGGACCATGGAATCCATGATTAGCAAGAGAAGTTACATTTGAAATATTTGATTGTTCATGAATAATTTCACATCCTATTCCTTGAGTCACAAAATCTATCAAGTGAGGATGCAATGCCAAGTAACAATAAGAAAAAAACATATGCGAGCATATAGGCATGCACATTGTGTGTGTTGTGTGTGTTTGTGTGTCTATAAGCATGTAAACAAAATTTACAAAATTCTACTCAGTGTCCAAATGCAGGAATCTGTTATAACTCAATACAAGCATCCCTGTAAAATCCTAATGCGTTTTCAAACCACATACATTAATTCAAATGAATAGTGGGATGAGTAAAAATCTCTAAAAATTTACAACTCGGTAACCAGAGAATGATCAAAAACAATAGAAATCCTATTTAAAATATGTGCAGAGTTCAATCTTCACTAGCACTTATCACTCACATCATAGTCAATAAACTTTACACAGCCTTAAATAGTGAACTGGTGTTTTACTCTCTAGATATAGATCCATGGGGCCATGTATTTCCAAGATAAGGTTCATAAAAGTTTTAAATGCATTGTTCTTTATAAATTGTTATTTCTAGCAATAGAAACGAGAATAGCCGCACACACTCCTCAAGGAGTGTGATTGCTGGCCATATGGTAAGAGCATATCGATGTTTGTAAGACGTTGCTAAATCATCTCTCCCAGTGGCTGTGCCATTTTGCATTCCCACCCACAATGAATGAGGGTTCCGGCTGCTTCCCATCCTCACTAGCATTGGTGATGCGAGTGTTCTGGATTTGAGGAATTCTAACAGGTGTGCAGAGCTAGCTGGTGTCTCAGTTGTTTTAACTTTCACTTATCTGGTGACATATGATTTGACTTTGACATAGCCAAACCTAAGGTCATCTAAATTTTCTCCTATATTATCTTCTAAAATTTTCATAGTTTTGTATTATCTTCTAGGATTTTTATTGTATTTTGCATTTGTATTTTACATTTAGGTCTCGCATCCACTTTGAGTTAATTTATATAAAGGGTATAAGACTAGCATCTGCATTCTTTTCATTTTGCTTTGTTTTTGCATGGGGCCGCCCATTTGCTCCAGCATCATCTGTTGAAAAGACTACCTTTTCTTTATTGCATGGATTTTTATTCAAAATAGTTTGTTATATTTGTGTGGAACTATTTCTGCACTCTCTATGCTGTTCATTGGTCTATTTATTTGTTCTTTCATCAGTGCCACATTTTCTTTCCTTTTTAAATTTATCTTTAAAAGAATTATGTTATTTAACTTTATTCCTTTGTCTTAATTTGACCAGAGAGGGGAGAGAGAGAGAGCAAACCACCAGGTCTGGGACTTGAATCACAGTTGACATGTGGGAGTCCAGCGCCCTTAACCACCATGCCACCTGCTGGCCCATGCCACATGTTCTTAATTGCTTAGGTTCACAGTAAGTTTTAATGTTGAGCAGGGTCAGTCCTCATTTTGTTCTTCTCCCTCAAATTATTGTAGCTCTACTGGTTTGTTTTTTCCTTTCCATATAAACATTAAATCAGTTCATTGATAATCCGCAAAAATCTTTCAGGGATTTTGGTTGGAATTGCATTGCATATGTGGGTACTGTTGACGTAGAGAAATCTCTCCTCAGGATGCTCTCCCCACAGGACTTGCTGGCCAGCACCACTTCCAGCAACACAGGAAGGGAAGGAAACTCCAGGGAGAAATGAGGAAACTGTCACTGGAGAGAGGGTTTCTACCGTGAAAACCAGCAAAACATCCAATCCTGGTCAATGCCATACATTATTCCATTCATTATTTTACCTCAACATTTTTACTAAAAAGTTTAAAAATATTTCTTTTTCATAAAAAGTTATAAAATAGAGCAACTGATCTTTCATATAAAAAGTTAATGTCACTTGTCAGGCAAGTATGCCATTTTAGGCATCAGGGCTAAAAGCAGTCATTCTAAAAAACAGACTTTAGATTCCTCTTTCAACTGTCCTTCCCCCATTTCCATTCTGAGGAGTGATCCAAGAACTCTACACTTTCTTAGCTCTGTGGCTTCAGAGCTGGAAGTACCTCATGTAAACCTCCAGTATGTAACACTGGGACAGAAAATAATGCCCTCCCAGGGCTGCCTCACCCAGGCCCCACCTGCCCGCTCTGGTTTGTGCTCAGCTCCCCCTGCAGTCCTTCCCACTGTGTCTCTCAGAGCGCAGTAGTACACAGCAGAGTCTGACGTTTGCACGGAGGGTTTCTGCAGGTGGAAGGAGCTATCACTCTTTATATGATTGCCCGAAAACCTCTGCTGTCCAGCCCTTGATGTTCTGATGAGCTTTTCAGGAGGAGCTCAGGTTCTTTGTTTGGGTACTGAACATACCAGAAAAGGAAAGTTGAATAGGTACTCTGGTAAGTACAATTCAGGAGCAGTGCTGCCTCCTCGGGGAGGGTAACTACGCCTTCCGTCTGGGTCACAGAGTCTCCATTTGTCCCTCCTAAGGAAAAAGAAGAAGAAGAAGAAAAACATTATATTGCAATGGAAGGGGATAGTCTGCAGTGTAAATAGGGTTAAAACATTCTAAAACTAAGGAATAGAGTATCTTAGATATTGTGAATAAAATTTACTCACTGAATAGCAACAAGATCACAAGTCCTGACCAGCAAGCCGACAGCACAACTGCTCCAGACACAGCAGCAGGTTTTGTGTGGGAACACATCTGAGCTGTGTGTATAGCCCGTCTTCTTGTTCCTTGGTCTCCAGTTAAATCTAAAAGTTCTGGCTCATGTGTTAACTGAAACAAAATACCCTACAAAATCATGCCACGGGTTATGAAAAAGAGAAAGGAAGATGAATTTGTGTCAATCAACCACCTCAAGGGAGCAGCACCTTCTAGGGGTTCCCCTCTGTCCCTGCAGCCTGCCCTGCACCTCTGACGGTGGCAGTTACCCTTAGGTTAGGTACACAGAAGGGAAATGCGTGTCAGAGGGGAGGGGTGAGCTCCAGGAAGACAGCACCAACTGCCCTCTGCAGACCTCACAGTGGTGCCTGGGGCAGACAGAGAGGAGATCCCTCAGTTACTCTCTCTTTTTGAAAAAAAAAAAGTTTATTTATTTTATTCATGATAAAGAGCACGTGCACATGCTCAGGAGAAAGAAAGGGAGAGAAGCCCCTTGGCAGGATCTCACCATGACTTTCCCTAGCCCTGCAGCTCCTGGGGATCTTGGGCACACGCCTGTTAGTGTGACTTCAAGCTGATCTGAGGATCCAAACTGCAGTCAGCCACGTGGCTCCCAGCACTGCAATTCAGCAGGCTGAAGACTGTGCCACCGGGTCGGGCCCTCTGTCACCTTTTTAAGAAGAAGCTGGACAACCTGGCTCCCTTAGGTCTCCCCAGTCTCAGAATGTAATGTCCATTCACACCCTGTATCGGCAGTTTGAAGTATCTTGGGGTATACTGAGAGCACAAAAAGCATGGTCTGAGATCTCTTGGCACTTTCCCCCTGCTTCTGGGATGTGCCCCTCCACTTTGCCTGGAGAACTCCTCTTCATTCTTTAAGAGCCCTGTACATGCCACTTCCTTGTGAAAGCACTCGCCCATCCCTTGAGGCAGACAGCGTCCACCACACCGGGTACATACCTGCCATCGTCCTTACCACGTTAGAATTCTCTGTGCCGGTATCTCAGGCTACACTTGGTCCTCCTGAGATTAGGAACTTAATCTAAGCAACAGTGGCCCATTTCTTAAAATATCTAAGTCCTTAGCTCATAGGAGATATTTTTTAAAAATCAAAAGATTGAGTGAATAACTAAATGAACAGGCACATTCTCCAGGTGAAATTACCTTTCAGTGTACCACAGTCTGTGTGAGAGGGTGTGTCTTGGGTCTCTGGTGTGACCAGCTTCTCCCAGGGGCAGCTCCAGGACCTGGATACCAGGATATACAGTGTTTCTCAAAAGTGAGTAAGGTATAGATCTCATAAGGGACTGCACTGATACTCTTTTTAAAAATGTTATGACTTCATATACACAATAATAAAATAAGTAATCTTTTTAAGCTTGCAGATTTGACATAATTACCAAATCAGACAAAAATGCAAACAAAATACAAAATCAATAAAATTCAAATTAAAACTGAGAGATTATCTTTCACTGAAATTGAAGAGTTGGTGTGGGCTTGGGGCCAGCAGGTGGTGTGATGGTTAATGGCACTGGACTCCCACAAGACTGACCATGGTTCAAGTCCTGGACCTGGCAACTTGCTTTCTCTGTTTCCCTCTCTCTCTCTTTCTCTCTCTCTCTCTTCCCTCGCCCCCTCTCTGTTCCTCTCTGGTCAAATTTAAATAAATAAATAAAGTTAAATGAAATAATTCTTTTAAAAATGTTTCCAAAAAAAATAAAGAGTTAATGTGGACTTCTTAAAAGAATATTATGGGGCCAGCCCATGGCATGGTGGTTAAGGTGGCTGGATCCCACATGACCAACTGCATGGTTCAAGTTCAGGACTCGGCGACTTGGGAAACATACCAGGCACACATGTGTGCATTTCCAAAATCCTGAAATACAGAAGAAAAGGGGAAGGGACTGTGGCATGACCATTCCGCATGGCAGGGTGAGAGGTCATGCTTCCTTATTTTCTCTCTCTTTCTCTCCAGGAAGCGCACATGCTCTTTGGAAAAAAATTTTTTAAATGAATAAATTTAACATTCTGAATGTGGATAAAATAGACTTTATTAAAGTGATTTGCTGGCCAGCAGATGATGTGGTGGTTAAGGAGATGGATTTCCACATAGCTGACTACAGTTTGAGTCCTAGACCTGATGGCTTGAAAAATCACACCGGGCTCCTGTGCCTTTTGGCAAAAACCTACAGAAAAAAATTAATAAAGTGATTTGGATGTTCAATGTACTATTTTCTGAGTCACTGTTGTTAGTGATTACTGAATTTTTTAAAAGAGGTTTTTGCTATAGGGCGCGTGTGCTTGCCAGAAAGACAGAGAGAGACAGAGAGATAGAAAGCAAGAAATCACCCCCCAGGGGAATGGCCACGCTGCAATCCTTTCTCCTCCATTCTCCTCTCAGGATCTTGGGCATGCACGCACACGCCTGGCGTGAGTTTAAGCTACTGGGTCGAAATAAGAAAGTGATTTGGATATTCGATGTACTATTTTCTGAGTCACTGTTATTAGTGACTGCTGAATTTTTTTTTACTTTTCCTATTCAAAAATATTTATGTAAGGCCTCAATATATAATTCTGTATTTTAATAAAGCACCCACAAAGTCAGCACTGCAAAAATATGTATTATACATTTACTGTTTTTTTTACATCTACTGAATTGCATATTGACATAGGCAAAAATGAATACGAGCAATGTATCTTTCAAAAGAAAGAATGTAGTGATGATGCTAACACAGGGTCTTTAGCATTTGGTTTTCCTCTAAATGTATGTGCTAGCTCACAGCCAAAATTTTCTAAAAACTTTTCTCCTTTGCTTTTTGCCATAGAGTGAATGCACGTGCCAGAGAGAGACAGAAAGAAACAGAGAAAGGGAAAGTGAGAACTCACTAAAGTATGCCCATCAGCACAACTGCTCTACTTTGCTCCACAAACACATTTTCAGATGTATTAAAGCTGCATCAAGAAAACTATAGTCAACATTTATTAATCTAAAGAAGGAAGAATAAATGGGTGGAAAACTTACGTATTTAATAATAGGAGTGTCTGCTTTCAAAACACAGCATCCCATGATCTCGTAATGGAGAATGGAGAACATACATTTATCCCTTGGGTGGGGAAAAATTATGACTTTCTTATGAGTTCCTGCTTTACTAATGGAGAAATCGAGGCTTTGAAATCACATAATTAGTAAACAGCAGTCATGTTCAGATCTTTGTCTTTATTACTCCAAAGATTGAGATCTTTGTCTCTCTCATAACGCAGTGATTCCGTTCCTCAGCTGTAAAGTGAAGAGTTTGGTTAAATGAGTTCCAATATTCCTTGAATGCTAATTCCTGGTAAATCTGCTCTTTCCATGCAGGAACTGGAAGAATGTTATAATCATCTCAGAAACCTCAAAGATCTACCTAGGCCTTGAAAGCAGGGCTGCACGTGGGAGAGCTGAAACCCCCTACCACGGAGCAGTCCTTCCTCATCTCCTGCACGTACCCAGACGTTATTATTGTTCCTGATAAATTAGAGCTCGAAGGTCCATTTGGGCTCATTGATCCAAATCCTTTACTCCAAGTGAGGAAATCCTGCCACATTGACACTGAGCCAGGATTGGCAAGATCAAAATTTTGAAAGGACTCTATCTGTAGACTCTCTTTTGTGGGACAACATAACCCCACCCCGCTTTTAGGCCTCTAAGCAGCAGCTCTGGCAGGGTTTGTACCGGACTGCAGGTGCCTGGTGAACGCTGTGCATCCACAGTGCAGAGGGAAGCAGCAGAGTCTGAACCTCGGGCGGCCATGATGCACAAGGAGCTGCTCTCAATGGCAGTGTCGAGCGTGGCTCTCAGCCTTCCACTGTGTTTCTCTCTTTCAAATTGAACGTATTAGAATTAGAGCAAGGCCTCTACCCGAATCCTGTTTATACACTGGCTTTATAACTGCAGTTCATAGCAACATTTTCCCCCTCCCGGATGCCCAGGCCCTGAGGATTCTCTTGTCTTCCTTGGCCGCTCACGCCTAGGCAGACACAGGCCAAAGAAAGAGTCAATCATTTCATTTCCAAATTAGCAAGACTTTATCCCTCCCTTACGTGGGCTCTGAACTTTGGTCCCTCTGTTCCCATTACCCTGAGCCCCAACTCACTGGCCAGCAGAAGACACAGAATCACAAAAGGCCCTCCCAGGAGTATTTCCATTCTTTTTGCTTATTGGGATCACAGACACTCAGCTCTGGGGCCTGCACTAGAGCCAGGTTCCTCAATCAGAAAAGGTAGCTCTCTTCACTGCCTGTGTGCCCAGAGTCTGAGGTTTCTCACCTGGCCAGTCAGACGCAAGCTCAGACCTTGGCTTAGTTTTGCACAGCGCATGCTCATTTCAAACCAAGGGAGTCGAAGAAGAGAGAGACACTGCCCTCTGGTGGCGGCAGCAGCATCCTGTCCACAGACTGTGCTCTAGAGAGGTGGAGCTAATTCCGGAGAAATTACAAAGCTATTTCACTCTCCACCTTTGCTGACCTCTAGCTCAAGCTTAGAGCAAAAACAGACACAGTTGGTTTCCGGTAAGAACTCCATGAAGAAAGAACGTTGGAACCCAATGTTTACAGAATACCTCGGCAAAATACTGCTAGGTTTTGTAGTTATTGCAAGCTCTTATATTGTAATGATGAGCTTTCTGGTTTTTGTTTTGTTTTGTTTTGTTTTAATTTGCTTAATTTGGAATGAGATTATAAACAAATCAGGATCCTTCTTGATGAACAACAGAAATAACTAAATTAAGTAAAACAAGCTGAATGGGAAATAATAAAGATTTAGTTTTCCTTGGAATCTCCAAAAGGGTCAGAAAATTGGACTCAGATAATACAGATGATGGAGTCAGGAGCAATGCAGAAAATCACTCTGCACAGCCATTCCCGTGACTATCCCACCATTACTCTTCTGAGCTCCAGACATTGGAGGTTGGGCCTGCAAGACTGCTCTTAGGGGACAAGGAAGCTGCAAGTCCACTGCCCCGCTGCCTAGCAAACTGTCATCTCCATCTTGTTGCAATTACACCACTCCCCAAAAGGAAACTCCTAATCTTCCTTTTTCACAAAAGGAAACCCTGAGTTAAGGTCTGAGACTGGGCCCCGTCTCCATGACACAGTGTTAAGGAAAGTGCCCTGTAAGACTGAAAGCCAATAGCAGGTTCTGATTTCCTGGTCAGCTTGAGAATCCACAAGGAACATGCATGTGGGCATCCAGGATTCTGAAGA